GACATCAAGAAGAAGTGACAAGAATACACAGAGGAATTATACCAGAAAGATATGGATGGCTTTTACACACCAGGTAGTGTGGTTGCTGACCTTGAGCCAGTTATCCTGCAGTGAAGTCAAATGGGCCTTAGAAAGCACTGCAAATAACAAGGCCAGTGGAAGTGATGGTATACCAGCCGAACTATTTAAAATTTTAAAAGATGATGCTGTTAAGGTGCTACACTCAATATGCCAGCAAGTTTGGAAAACTCAGCAGTGGCCAGAGGATTGGAGAAGATCAGTCTACATCCCAATGCCAAAGAACGGCAGTGCTAAAGAATGCTCCAACTACCGCACAATTGCACTCATTTCACACGCTAGCAAGGTTATGCTTAAAATTCTACAAGGAAGGCTCAAGCAGTATGTGGACCGAGAAGTCCCAGAAGTGCAAACTGGATTTAGAAAAGGCGGAGGAACCAGAGACCAAATTGCAAACATGCGCTGGATTATGGAGAAAGCTAGAGAGTTCCAGAAAGACATCTACTTCTGCTTCATTGACTATGCAAAAGCCTTTGACTGTGTCAACCACAGCAAACTATGGCAAGTTCTTAAAGAAATGGGAGTGCCTGATCACCTCATCTGTCTCCTCAGAAATCTCTATGTGGGACAAGAAGCTACAGTTAGAACTGGATATGGAACAACTGATTGGTTCAAAATTGGGAAAGGAGTACGACAAGGCTGTATTTTGTCTCCCTGCATATTTAACTTATATGCAGAATTCATCATGTGAAAGGCTGGGCTGGATGAATCCCTAGCCAGAATTAAGATTGTCGGAAGAAATATCAACGACCTCAGATATGCAGATGACACAACCTGGATGGCAGAAAGTGAGGAGGAATTAAAGAACCTTTTATTGAGGGTGAAAGAGGAGAGCACAAAATATGGTCTGAAGCTCAACATCAAAAAAATGTAGATCATGGCCACTGGGCACATCACCTCCTGGCAAATAGAAGGGGAAGAAATGGAGGTAGTGAGAGATTTTACTTTCTTGGGCTCCATGATCACTGCAGATGGTGACAGCAGCCACGACGGCTGCTTCTTGGGAGAAAAGCAATTACAAACCAAGACTGCATCTTAAAAAGCAGAGACATCACCTTGCCAACAAAGGTCCGTATAGTAACAGCTATGGTTTTCCCAGTAGTGATGTATGGAAGTTAGAGCTGGACCATCAAGAAGGCTGATCGCCAAAGAATTGATGCTTTTGAATTATGGTGCTGGAGGAGACTCTTGTGAGTCCCAAGGACTGCAAGAAGATCAAACCTCTCCATTCTGAAGGAAATCAGCCCTGAGTGCTCACTGGAAAGACAGATCGTGAAGCTGAGGCTCCAGTACTTTAGCCACCTCATGAGAAGAGAAAACTCCCTGGAAAAGACCGTGATGCTGGGAAAGATGGAGGGCACAAGGAGAAGGAGACGACAGAGCACGAGATGGTTGGATAGTGTCTTCGAAGCTACCAGCATGAGTTTGATCAAACTGCGGGAGGCAGTGGAAGACAGGAGTGCCTGGCGTGCTCTGGTCCATGGGGTCACGAAGAGTCTTAAACGACTAAACGACTAAACAACAACAACAACATTCCAATGCTCAAGTTAGGGATTCAAGGCTGAAAGAATATACACTGATCAATAGCCATCAAGTGGATTTATGGCTGAGAGGAAAATGCACTGAGGTTTTCCTGGCTCAAACTTTGCATCTATAATTGCTAGATTACAGCAACACTCTCAGAGCAAAATTCTTATTGCCCAGTTAGGCACGTTATTTGACCAATGACAGCAGCGAAATAAGGAAATATGAAACAAACCCCAACCAAATGCCAATCAGGTTGAGGGGGAAAAAATCATTTCCACCCAAACCCAAAATAGCACATTTAAACTCCTGAAATAAATTCAGTAACAAAAAGAAACAGCAGCACTCACAGCATCTTAAAAACCATATCAGAAACAGGATCCTAAAACTCAGTTTGCATGTGGGATTCATAAAAAAGGAAGTTTCCGTATTTTTAAGACTCACATTAATGTCTTGAAATAATAGAATAGGAAATGTGGAGGGTCACATAGAGGGAGGGAGGGAAAGAGAAAGCAGAGTTGACCTACCTGTGGAACCTTATAGTTTTTCAAGAGCGTCGCCACATTCATGGAAATTGGGGCATCCACTCCCCCAATGACTGCTATTAGATTTTTCTGTTGCTCACATATGTAGTTAGGGATAAATCTCTCCTCTGTGGATAAAAGGAGCATTGTAGCATGATAAGTCCTCCTTGCATTGCAATAGCTGTCATAGATGTGGAAGCCCAAAGTGAGATTGGGTAAGAGGTGAGGGTTTTCATTGATCTCTTTGACTGTGAATGCCAAAGCCAGGATGTGCTGGTAATGCTTAGGGACTATGCTGAAAGAAGTGTGAGATTCTTTTTCAGAAGGATATTCCATACTTAGTTTAGTTATTACCAATGTGTTCTGTGCCTCTTTTATTAACAATCAATTATTACAGTATTTATACATAAGTTGGATATAAATATAAAAAATAACTATGTAAGCAGTCACATTTACAATATAAAACTCTCCATTCTGATTAAGTTTTTAGATTTTTATCATTTATTTCATTATAAAGCTTATTTGAAAATCGAGTTAAAATATAACAAAACAGATGGGATGGTGTTTATTTTTTAAAGCTGTCAGATGGAGCAGACTGAGGGGGCAACACTATGATAAAATCCACAAGGAGGAGCATTTTAGGATGCACTGGATCGTCGGATCAACCATGCTCAGTTGGCATTAAGTCCCCAACTTCAGTTCAGTTGAACATACTGTATATCAGCATAACTTGATCATCTCAACCAAGTTGGTCTAAGATTGAAAAGGGGAGCATTCCAGGAGCAAGGCAGAGGTGGAATCAAAGAGCGGAGACTTTGTTAGATCCTAAGCATGTCCAGCTTGGTCATGTGACCTGGTAACCTGGCATAGTACATATTTTAAATGCAGGTTTTCCCTAAGCCAGGCATGGACAGAATATCAGCAGGAGCCCTGCTGCCGAACAGAGTTCAGATCTGGAGTAACTTTATGCCACATTAATTTGCTGTATCTTAATTCCCACTAGCTTTTGGTGGATAGGATTTCTCCCTATATTTTTTGTTCTTTAGCTGCAGCTCTAGCACAAATTACCTAAGTGGCAGTTTTTATTGTATAAAATAAATTAATACAATATTTGGAAAGAAAATCAAACAATCATTTAGGCCTTACACAAATAGATCTGTCAATGTTGGCAGGGGTTCTTCCCTGAAGACTTGTTCACTGACGATGGCAGTAGCATGATAAGCAATTCCACCAATTATGAAGTCTCCTAATTGATGATATTTGTGAAGTGGAGGCTGTGGGTAATAGATATTGCACTGAACAGCATGAGTCTTGAATTCCATGGGAGGAAGCAGAGGCAGCAGCAAAATGACTACAACGACCATCCTCGGTACAGAAGTCTGAAGCCTGGAATATTCAAGAGCAGAGCTGTGAACTCCTGTCTGTTCCCAGTGCCACTCCATATCTCTGAATTGCACTGGATATATTTATGACAACCTTCACACTCTTTGCTCTCTGTTATGCTAACAGCCAAGGAAGTTCCCAGGGGTTTGGCTGAACATCATAATTAATGACTGTCCTTCTGACTAACTAATTGTGTCGTTAATTATTACGTTAACAACAATTCCTAAATCGAGGATGTGGAGTCCTTTAGGAATTAAGAAAAGTTGTTTGTCACATATTTTGGAAAGAAGATTTCCCTCACTCTTTAGTTAGTTAGGAAGGCATGGTGAAGTTTGGAATGACCCACAGCATGAAGAGGACACTGGATTCAAATCTTTGTGGTAGGGGTTAGCAACAAAGTAGTCATGGATGCCTTATGCCTGTGTCTCCTTCCAATTGCAACATGAGCAGTCTCAATAAATGCTCCCTCATAAATCCACATTAAACAAGAGGATGTTGATCAGAATATAATGGGGGGGCAGCTGAGAGGCATTAATCCCCTTAATGCACCCCTTTTATCAGACAGCTATGAGTTTGAATGTCAATTATGAGACGCTTTGTAAGATGGGCCTGTGATCCATCAAGCTATGGGCACTGACAGACCCCTATATGTATTCTCGTCTGGCTGTCAGCTGTTGTCACTTGCTTAAGGAAGGACAATCAGGAGAGAGTCTATCTAAATTCTCTATGGAGGAAGTTCCCAAGTCTGTGTGTGGCCACTGAGAAGGCCATTTCCTGCTTTACTACCAAGTGAACCTGTGAGGGTGGCAAGAACTAGAAAAGGACTTCCCCCAAAGATATCGACACCTGGGCTATTGAGGGCATCGACAGTGCACATATGGAGGCAAATAATGTGAATAAAATGTGACTCTTTCAAATAAAAATTCTTCAGTGCAAAAATATGGTTCAAAAGATATACCGCAGAACTTTACTCTGAAGCAACTTGAAACAAATAAAGTTACATTCAGATAGTTGAATAATGTCTTATACTTGTCCAAGTGTAGCACACTTGGATTCCAATATATATATCTTCAAGTGCTAAAATTCCAAGCTTTGTCTTTCCTCCATTCCAGTCTCCATTAGCCTGAGGCTCTTTTCTTGGAGATAGATAAGCATATGCATAGACTTGTAATACTAGAGCTTCCATGTGATTCTAAGCTAAACACCTTGTGATGGACCCAGATGAGACTTAGCCCCACTTAATCATAAACTGCTAGACTCTTCTCTCAACTCTTCTTCAGCTTCAATAGAAGTTTCCATGCTATGCTTCACAATCTAAATACCAACACATTACAGATTTATTTTCCATTTCAGTGTACAATTAAACAATTTTATTTAACACAGAAGCTCGCAATATATGAAAGGAAAGAAGTTAACATAGCAGAACAAGCCCATTTTAACTCCTTGTCTGGTGAGCACTCTTTATGCATGCATTGTATGCACTCAAATTCTTCAGGTCTTATTTCTTATTAGATGTTCCCTTTCATTCAACTCAGGCCGCAACACAATAACATAGCATTTTGGTGCAAAGATGCAACCCAGCAGGCCAGCACCGGATGCTAAGATAGAGAAGATCTCCACAGCAACCATGTATTTCCCCTTGGTACTGAGGTAGGAGGGAATAAAGGACAGCCAAACACTGCAAAAGACCAACATGCTGAAAGTGATGAACTTCGCTTCATTGAAACTGTCAGGTAACTTCCTGGCAAAGAAAGCTACAGTGAAGCTGACAAGAGCCAGGAAGCCCATGTAGCTCAAGACAAAGTAAAACATAGTCACGGAGCCCTCATTACATTCCAGTACAATTTCTTTAGCGATTGAGTGCATGTCAACATCTGGAAATGGGGGCGAAAATGCCAGCCACACAGTACAGATGCCCACTTGAATAAAGGAACAAGACACCACAATGGCAATAGCCAGTCTCTTCCCCACCCACTTCCTCATCCTGGATCCTGGCTTGGTGGCCATGAAAGCCAAAACCACTGTCATGGTTTTTGCTAGCACACAAGAAACAGCCACTGAGAAGAGAATGCCAAAAGCCGTCTGTCGGAGGAGGCACGCCACAATTCCAGGTTTTCCAATGAATAGCAATGCAGACAGGAAGCAGAGCAGGAGAGAAATTAGCAGCATATAAGTGAGGTCTTTGTTGTTTGCTTTGACAATGGGTGTGTGGTGGTGCTTCAAAAATGTTCCCAGGACCAGAACTGTGAGCACAGAAAAGGTAAAAGCAAAGCAGGCTAGACTGATGCCCAGAGGTTCCTCATAGGACAAAAAGGTTGTTTCCTTGGGAATACACATATCCTGATTATTATTTGAATATTTTTCTTCTGAGCATATATTACACTCGTTCACGTCTGAAAATAAAAATACGTGGTCTTAATCAGGGAAAGTGAACACATATTCTGTAGAAATCATGTCTACCTGAATAATGTTGCGCTCCAAGAGCCCCAAGCCCTTTCCCAGTAAATAACTTCAAACAGACACATAATTTTATTTTTATGTTTTTCGGCAAAATTTAGGCCACAACTTTATTGAGTGGTATTGCCTAGGTGGGAAGCGGGTGGCGCTGTGGGTTAAACCACAGAGCCTAGGACTTGCCGATCAGAAGGTCAGTGGTTCGAATCCCTGTGACGGGGTGAGCTCCCATTGCTCGGTCCCTGCTCCTGCCAACCTGGCAGCTTGAAAGCACCTCAAAGTGCAAGTAGATATATAGGTACCGCTCTGGCGGGAAGGTAAACGGTGTTTCGTGAACTGCTTTGGTTCACCAGAAGCGGCTTATTCATGCTGGCCACATGACCCGGAAGCTGTACGCCGGCTCCCTCGGCCAATAAAGTGAGATGAGCGCCGCAACCTCAGAGTCGGTCATGACAGGACCTAATGGTCAGGGGTCTCTTTCCCTTTACCTTTATTGCCTAGGCATTGTTCAGGGACTATAACTGAATCCTGCCTCTCTGGCTGGCAGTCTGTAAGGGTAAACACCAAACGAGGAAGCAACATTGGTGAAGATCGATTGAAGCTCATCCCGGTGTTCCTGTGGTCTTGGCATGGCCCTAGCCCCTTAAGCGGACTTCGGAAGAGATCCAGGACCCCCAGATTCCTTTACCAGAATACCCTATTTCTGGGGGTGCAGGTGATGGCCAAACCTCCCTTCCCACACATTTCTATAAACCAATTCCTAACCGCCAAACCTTACAAAGTTGTGGCGATTGCTAAGGGGGTAAGCGAAAACCAAGTGGCTAAAGCCAATCTGCCAAATGGAAAAATTCCAACCCAGATCCTGCTCCAAAGCAGGCGACCCAATCCAAAGCAAGGCCAAAACAGTAGCACCTAAAATAGGGAGGGAGGGTGTTCAGCAGGGTGAAGCAAGTGCCCCGCCCCCATTGTGCTGCCACATTTATAGGTCCCTGGGATCACGCCACTCGCCCCAATTGGCCCAAACAGCCAAGCACTATTCTGGGGCCCAACAGACAAGGTTTGGGCCACGCCTAGCAACAACACACCCCGTGGGGGTGGCTTAAGGGTCCCAAGCACAACCAGGATCCTCGACTTAGGAGGATCACATTTGTAATGGCTATTTTTTCCCATGTGTAATGATAATTTTATTCTAATATACAATGTCATACATTTGAATACAAAAGTTTTCTGTCTTGTCTGGCGGAAGCCCTATTAAGTGGTGTTTGTAGTTTTAACTGACATCTGCGAGGAACATTGTATGTTAGGATAATCTGTAAGCAAAATAAGGCTAGGAGTTATGCCTATTTTGTGTGGTATTGAAAGCGTTCTTTAAACCTTGGTGTCACAGATAAAAACCTCACGTTTTAACCACTAGACTAGATAGATATTATTTTCAACTTATTAAAATGCTAAAAATTATTCACATAGCAAAACGCAAAGCATAGTAATTTTGGAAGTCCTCCTCTACTGGAACAAAAAATTGCAATCCCTTTTAAAGTTAATGGATTAAAAAATAGAGCAAAAACCCTAAACTTTTCTTTTTATGAATTTCCAATTATTTTCGTCTGTACTGCTCTGTTTAGGTTGGTCATGTATTTTGCTCATTCTTCATTTCTGATTCCTTCTTTGTAAATTTCCATTTTATCATGGAAATGTATTCGTATCATTGTGTGTTGTGTTAGATGAATACATGGTGGGATCCAACTATCATAAAGAATTGGCCTCCTGCTTTTGCAACAATTGAAGGATCGAAATACTCTTCAAAGATTGGACCAAGTTAAGTTCATTCCTAAAACATTTTCTTTCAGGCTTATTGCCATTGATGATAAGTCAGAAAACCATTTTTGATCTCTCTCTCTCTCTCTCTCTCTCTCTCTCTCTCTCTCTCTCTCTGTGTGTGTGTGTGTGTGTGTGTGTGTGTTTGGAGCTTGATCATACATTTGGAAGTTATCTTCTCTGATAAACTGTTACTAGTACTGCCCATTATCATATTTCCCTGACAGGGACTCTGAGGCAAATAATCACAGACACAAACCAGTTTCTTCTTCAGCAACTACCTACAGGCTTAACAAACATTTCAATCACATGCTAAACCTGGTATAAAGTTGTCAATTTATAGGCACATTCCTCTGAATTCCAGCTAAAGCCATTCACTTGTAAACTGTACAGTTTGTGCAGAATACTCACCCTCCTGAGCCGAAATCTTCCCTTCTGGACATGGGATGCAATCATAACAGCAAAATGGCTCCCCATCTTTCACTCTTTTCCTAGTTCCGGGATGGCACCGCTCGGTACATAAGGAAAGAGGCTGAGACTAATCCATACATGAGAGCCCAGAATAATAATTTTGAGAATTTTGAGATTAGAATATTGAAGCCAACTTTTAGGTATTCTTAAGTGACACTTCCTTTCAGTAAAGTATCACCAATTGTGCTAGCAAGAGCAATATTTTTTAATCAACATGAGAATTATAGTACAACAGACTGTTAAGAAACCATATTCTGGAAAGGATGGAGCTTGATTAAGGGCATAGATTGTGATTCCTTGTATATATAAACCAGTCAAGAGATTTCGTTTTTATACTTTTTCCAAACAACTTCTCAATTAATATAGACAGGAATATCTTATCCATCCATCCATTGTATTTTTTCCATTTTCTAAAAAGTTCCAAACCAGACTCTCAGTATTTTATTGGATTTCCTTATTTATAATTAATCTAATTTTAGACATCAGGGCAGAGTGCAAGTACCTACTCAGAACCAGGTGTCTTACTCAAATGGGTGACCATTGAGACTTACCTGGTTAAAATGGCTGGGCCAAGTTATGGAATCCCCATTGATGGTCAACTGTTGGTTGGGATCAACATTCCCAACCTTCACTCTATGAAATGATTGGTTTGAGGAAACAATCCAGTTGATCACATCAAATCCAGCCACTAACTCTCCATTCTCATCAAAGGAAATCTTGTCCCCACCGCTGTTGTTAAACAAGACACGTCTGAGAAAAATATGTAGCTGGTTTCAGGAGGAGAAGGGAAGAGTTGAGAAAAGGCTGCAGTTGGATCGTTGATAGTAAATTCGTACCCTGTTTATGGTTTTTGGGTGAGAAGGTATTTGCGTGGACAGGCGGAGTCCCCAGATCCCGAGCGGTCCCCCCCCCGTCATGTGGAATAACGACTCAAGACAACGTGCTATGGGATTAAATTGGCCACAACTTTATTAAATTTCAAATGTTGGTAGACCTTGGCTCAGGCATTGGGCGTTCTCCCTCCCCAGTCCCCAGCCGGGGACCTAGGGAGCTTCAGGGTTATCCAGTGGGGGGGGGATGGGCCGGCTCTGGAGAACATATGTTCAAGCAGAGATAGCCGCCCCCGTTATGCCGCCGCCGCAGGGGAGAGCAATGACAACCTTTCGGCGTACAGTCAAAGCCTCCCTTCAGAAACCCCTTTAACGGGGAACCCTGGTATCGCCGCCGCAAAGAGGAAGATGGACTAAAGGATTCCGCCCAAGGCCTGATACCGCCAAAGTTGTGACGTTTTGCTACGGGAAAGGTGAAACCTGCCAATGCAGGGAAATTCCTTTCCGGCCCTTTAACAGCGACCTTAACGTAGCAGCGCCCACATACCTGTGAAGATAAGTTAACCTGCAAAACCTATGAAGAAAAGTTAACCTGCAAAAGAAGACATTAACTGAGGGTGGGTAGGGTGAGAGAACCTCTGGAGCCAAGTGAGGATTCCCAGGTAAGATCCTCCCTCTATTGTGTGGGCAGGTAATCCCTCCCCTCCCTGGCCTGGTCTCCTTGGCAACGCTTCCCCAGGTGGGATTGGACAACTGACTGAGGTAGGCGGAGACCTCCAGGTATCCCACCTGAGGGAAGGCAAAGCCAAGTCTATGCTGATGGGGCTGCTCCAGATCTAGGGCTGTGCGCATCCACGCAAGGGGCGCCCCCTGTTTTAAGTGGGGAGCGGTCATTATGATAAAGAAGCTCACTCTTTGTAATTCAGAAAAGGAGCAGCAGATTCTAATAAATTGACTTTAAAGCACGTTAGGTTCTGAAGCTTCTGTTTCTATATTTTTCAGAGTGTTGAAACACAGTTAATGTTTCAATAGTCAATTAGGCCAACACCATTTTAGTTTGTGTTGACTCAGTGAGAAAATGACCAACTTCTGACACCAGAAAGTATTTTTATTTTTTTTAAAGTGATTCAAGTGCCTAACTCATTTATATGCACCCATTCGGAAGGTAGCATTGCAAAATACAACAAAAAATATATAAGATGAACATATAGAAACCTCACTCTTTGTAATTCAGAAAAGGAGCAGCAGTTTCTAATAAATTGACTTTAAAGCATGTTAGTTTCTGAAACTTCTGTTTCTATTTATTATTATTTTTAAATAAAACATGTGACTTCAAGGGGCATACATATTCATGTAGATCTGCTCTAAGAAGGCCTGGTTCAGGCTCAATAATTTAACAGAATGAATTAGATGCACCAAATTCATAACAGAATTTCTACCTATCACAAAATATGGAACTGGGCTTTCACTAAAACTGCCATTAATCCCAGTCTGTGTACAAAGTGGTCTGGGGTGAAGGGAAATGTAGTCCAACAAAATCTGGAGGGTGCAACCAGTTGGGTTAACCTGGCTGATTGAGAGAATCAAATAGTAATTTAGAAATCATCCAGTAATTTAGGAAATGGAAAGGAAGAAGTGTTATTTGCATAAATTTGCATAAATACTGTGTCCCCAATTCCTTCCCAACCTAAGGTATATAACATATATCGCTTTAATATGTTATATACCTTAGGTTGGGAAGGAATTGGGGACACAGTATTTATGCAAATTAAAGACTATTATAGTACATTTATGGTGCTCTGCCTCTTGACAATGTTGAGCATGTTACCTGCCACAATTGTTGATTTTGGCACTTCCATCCACCTCTTCTTTCCATTGCTTGATATTTGAATCTAGTTGAAGACATGTAATGCAAAGCATGGGCTACAGCGCAGACAGCATTGTAGATGCTGTAACTGTGGCCATTCATGCTCATCTCAAAGAATGGAGCAGGAAGGCTCTCTAGTTTCTCCTCCCAGTACAAATATTCCCCATCACATCTTCCACATTTGGATCTGCAAACACACAGTCAAAGGCCTGTTGCCAGAAGTCTCTGATGAAACCATCTCCTTTTGTGCTTAAAGGATTTTGGCTCTCAACAAATGCTTTGAATGCTGGTATGTCATTGGAATGGACTGTGAAGGACAGGACACCATGGAATATTTCTGTGTCCCAATTCTTTTGATATAGCTGTGAAGTGAGCTCCATTGCAGCTGTTGTTATCCACACTATACCTTTTGGGAGACTTGGTGGATGTTCTGCAAAATATGGAATCCATCTCAAAATCACCATGGAATAAGAGTCACCATAAAACACAACCACACTGGCTGTACTATTCAGAAGTTCATTATGTATTTTTAATCCATCTTCAAGAATTTCATCAAATTCAGAGGTGGACATAACCATAGGGATTCTTTTTATAAAGTCAAAACAGATACCTCTCTGGGAAAATTTTGGCAAAACAGTTTGCAAAAACATTTCACCATTTTCATTATCCATTACTAGTACCCCAATCCATATCCATTTGAAATAAAAAAGCAAAGAGAGAATTCCTGTGTATTGAAGTGCTTGATGAGGAACCATCTGGTAGAAAGAAATTCCTGGGTTTCCATCTGTTTTCAATGGAGCAGAGCCATATATGAGCTACAGTGATTTTAGGGGAGAGAAAGAAAAGATGTAATAATAGAATGCATCTTGCATATTGAAGCTTTCAAAACCATTCATGGAAATTGGAAACCAGTGCTTTCACCTCTGCTGATGGAAGTCAACTATAGACTCTCATAGAATTGAAGAGTTGGAAGGGACCCCAAGAGTCATCTAGTCCAAGCCCTTGCAAAACAAGAACATCTGCTAAGGCACCTAGGACAGATAGCCATCCACCAGAGCATGAATTCTCACAATTCTATCTATTGGAAGAATGAAATATACCTGTTACAGAGGATTGGGGACCACCCCCCAGCAGATATATTCAACCTTGGGGGCAAAAGGAAGCAAGAAAATTGCCCCCCAAAAAACACCCCCAAAACACCAACACCACACCAACCCCGCTCCAATGTCCACTGATGAATTGATTTGTCAGTGAATTCCACCTATATATTATATTAGCAACTCTTAGAAATACAACGTCAGGTACTGAATTTGACTATTCCAATGCTCGAGTTAGGCATTCATGGCTGAAAGAATATACAATGATCAATAGCCATCAAGTGGATTTATGCACTGAGAGGAAATGCACTGTGGATTTCCTTGCTCAAAGTTTGAATCTATAATTGCTTGATTACAGCAACATTCTCAGAGCAAAATTCTTATTGACACATTTCTGGACCATTGAGAGAAGCGAAATAATCAGACTGTACAACGGTTATAGGATAAAATCAGACCAAATTTTGATTAACATCAGCAGGAAGGGTAATATTTGGCATGCCATTAGCGACAGGGTCAGTTCATATTCCACAAGCCCCATGATGATGGAACGGATCCGCTGGATTTTGACTAGCCCAAGCCCATCCCATGGGTGTTGGCCAGGGTTCAACCTTGCTGTGGTGCAAGCCAAGCAATAAAGGTCTCACTAGGTAACCAGGGTGCAGTTTCCACCCATGCAGATACACAACCCAAGTTTGGGCGTGCTGTGGTCAATCCTGCTCTCAGGCCCCTTATGGGGCTTCCCCTATACTATGTTGATCCTGCCTGATGCCATTTCCTCCTTCATACAAACAATGTTCTTCTGCCTAACAAACAAAGGACACAATTTTACTAAGGAAACATGAAACAAACCCCAACCAAATGGGAATTAAGTTGAGAGAATAAAATTCATTTCCAGCCCTCTCAACCAGCACCCCCAAATTGCATTTTAAACTCCTCCTAAAATAAATACAGTAACACAAAAGAAACAGCAGCACTTACTGTACAGCATCTTAAAAACCATATCAGGAACAGGAGCCTAAAACTTGGTTTGCATGAGGGATTCATAAAAAGGAAGTCACATTATTTTCAAAGCACATATTAATGTCTTGAAATAATAGAATAGGAAGTGTGGAGGGTCACACAGAGGGAGGGAGGGAAAGAGAAAGCAGAGTTGACCTACCTGTGGAACCTTATACTTATTCAAGACTGTTGCCACATTGACGGAAATTTGGGCATCCACTCCTCCAATGACTGCTATTAGATCTTTCTGTTGCTCACATATGTAGTTAGGGATAAATCTCTCCTCTGTGGATAAAAGTAGCATTGTAGCATGATATGTCCTCCTTGCATTGAAATAGCTGTCATAGATGTGGAAGCCCAAAGTGAGATTGGGTAAGAGGTGAGGGTTTTCATTGATCTCTTTGACTGTGAAAGCCAAAGCCAGGATGTGCTGGTAATGCTTAGGAACTATGCTGAAAGAAGTGTGAGATTCTTTTTCAGAAGGATATTCCATACTTAGTTTAGTTATTATCACTGTGTTCTGTGTCTCCTTTATTAACAATCAATTATTACAGTATTTATATATAAGGTGAGAATATTTATAAGGTGGCCTACATAAATATAAAAGATTAACTATGTCACAAGTCACATTTACTACAACAGCAATAATAACAATTATTTATTATTTATATCCCACCCATCTGGCTGGGTTTCCCCAGCCACTCTGGGTGGCTTCTAACAGAATATTAAAAGTGCAATAAAACATCAAACATTATAAACTTCCCTAAATAGGGCTGCCTTCGGATGTCATCTAAAAGTCAGATAGTTGTTTATTTCTTTGACATCTGGAGGGAAGGCGTTCCACAGGGCAGACGCCACTCTGCCTGGTTCCCCGTAATCTCATTTCTCGTAGGGAGGGAACCTCCAGAAGGCCCTCAGAGCTGGACCTCATTGTCCTGGCTGAATGATGGGGGTGGAGAATCTCCTTCAGGTATACTGACTCGAGGCGCTCCAGAAACTCTCCATTCTGATTTAAGTAAGTTTTTAGATTTTTATAATTTATTTCATTATAAAGCTTTTTTGAAAATAAAGTTAAAATATAACAAAACAGATGGGATGGTGTTTATTATTTTAAACTGTCATGGTGAAGATGGAGCAGATTGGGGAGGCAATCCTATGGCTAGATCCCCCAGGATGAGCATTTTAGGATGCACAGGATCTTGGGCTCAATGACGCTCAATTGGCCTTAAGTCCCCAATCCCAGTTCAGCTGAGCATATATCAGCATAACTTGGTCATCTCTACCAAGCTGACTGTGATGAAACTGGTTGAGCCAAGCTGGTCTAAGACTGGAAAAGGGAGCATTCCAGGAGCAAGGCAGGGGTGGAATCAGAGAGTGGAGACTTTGCTAGATCCTAAGCATGTCCAGCTTGGTCATGTGACCTGGCAACCTGGCATAGTACATATTTTAAAGGCTTGTTTTCCCTCAGTCAGGCGTAGAAGCAGGGGCCTTTCTACTGAACAAGTTTAGATGTAGTGCAACTTTATGCTGCATTAATTTATAGCATCTTACTTTACACTAGCTTTTGGTGAATAGGATTTCTCCCTAAGTTTGTATTCAGTGGCTGCAGCTCTTGCACAAATTATCCCAGTGGATTTTTTTATTATATAAAACAAATCAATATTTGGAAAGAAAAGCAAATAATCATTCAGGCTTTACACAAATGGTTCTGTCAATGTTGGCAGGGGTTCTTCCCTGAAGGCTGGTTCACTGACGACGACACCAGCATGATAAGCAATTCCACCAATTATGAAGTCTCCTTGTTGATGATATTTGTGAAGTGGAGGCTGTGGGTAATAGATATTGCACTGAACAGTGTGAGTCTGGCATCCCATTGGAGGCAGCAGAGCCAGCAGCAAAATGACTAGAACCACCATCATCGGTACAGAAGTCTGAAGGCTGGAGTATCCAAGAGCAGATCTGTGAACCCCTGTCCGTTTCCAGTGCCACTTCCATATCTCTGATTTGCACTGGATATATTTATGACAACCTTCACACTCTTTGCTCTCTGTTCTGCTAACAGCCAAAGAGGTTCCACAGGGATTTGGTTGAACATAATAACAAATGGCAGTCCTTCTGACTAGCTAATTGTGTAGTTAATTATTACATTAACAACAATTCCTAAATGAAGGATGTGGAGTCCTTTAGGAATTAAGAAAAGTTGTTTGTCACGTATTGTGGAGAGAAAATTTCCCTCACACTTTAGTTAGATAGGAAGGCATGGTAAAGTTTGGAATGACCCACAGCATGAAGAGGACACAGGATTCAAATCTTTGTGGTAGGGGTTAGCAACAAGGTTGTCATGGATGCATTATGCCTGTGTCTCCTTCCTATTGCACCATGAGCGGTCTCAATAAATGTTCCCTCATAAATCCACATTAAACAAGAGGATGTTGGTCAGGATATAATGGGGGGGCCACTTGAGAGGCATTAACTCCCTCAAAACACCCCTTTTACCAGAGAGTTATGAGTTTGAATGCCAACTGTGAGATGCTTAGTAAGATTGACCTGTGATCCATCAAGCTATAGGCACTGACAGATTCCTTATGTATTCTGCCTGTCAACTGTCACCTGTTATCACTTGCTGAAGGAAGGAGAACTAGGAGAGAGTCTATCTAAATTCTCTATGGAGGGAGTTCCCAAGTCTGTGTGTAGCCACTGAGAAGGCCTTCTCCTCTCCTGCTTTCCTCTGAAGCAACTTGAAACAAATAAATTTATATTCAGATAGTTGAATAATGTCTTATACTTGTCCAAGCGTAGCACACTTGGATTCCGATATATATGTCTTCGAGTGCTAAAATTCCAAACTTTGTCCTTCCCCCATTCCAGTCTCCATTAGCCTGAGCCTCTTTTCTTGGAGAGAGATAAGCAAATGGACTTGTAACACTAGAGGATTCATGTGATTCTAAGCTAAACACCTTGTGATGGACCCAGATGAGATTTAGCCCCACTTAATCATTAACTGCTAAACTCTTCTGTCAGCTCTTCTTTAGCTTCAATAGCAGCTTCCATGCCATGCTTCACAACCTAAATACAGACACATTACAGATTTATTTTCGATTGCAGTGTACAATTAAACATTTTTATTTAACACAGGAGCTCACAATACGATAAAGGAAAGAAGATAACATAGCAGAACAAGACAATTTTAACCTCTTGTGAACTCTTGTGAACTCTATGTATGCATTCTATGCACTCAAATTCTTCAGGTCTTATTTCTTGTTAGATGTACCCTTTCATTCAACTCAGGCCGCAACACAATAACGTAGCATTTTGGTGCAAAGATGCAACCCAGCAGGCCAGCACCAGATGCTAAGATAGAAAAGATCTCCACAGCAACCATGTATTTTCCCTTGGTACTAAGGTAGGTTGGAACAAAAGATACCCAAACACTGCAAAAGACCAACAGGCTGAAAGTGATGAACTTTGCTTCATTGAAACTGTCAGGTAACTTCCTGGCAATGAAAGCTACAGTGAAGCTGACAAGAGCCAGGAAGCCCATGTAGCTCAAGACAGAGTAAAACATAGTCACAGAGCCCTCATTACATTCCAGTACGATTTCTTTAGTGATTGAGTGCATGTCAACATCTGGAAATGGTGGTGAAGATACCATCCACACAGTACAGATGCCTGCTTGAATAAAGGAACAGGAAACCACAATGGCAATAGCCAGTCTCTTCCCCACCCACTTCCTCATCCTGGATCCTGGCTTGGTGGCCATGAAAGCCAAAACCACTGTCATGGTTTTTGCTAGCACACAAGAAACAGCCACTGAGAAGATAATGCCAAAAGCTGTCTGTCGGAGGAGGCACGCCACAATTCCAGGTTGTCCAATGAATAGCAAGGCAGACAGGAAGCAGAGCAGGAGAGAAATTAGCAGCATATAAGTGAGGTCTTTGTTGTTTGCTTTGACAATGGGTGTGTGGTGGTGCTTCAAAAATGTTCCCAGGACCAAAACTGTGAGCACAGAAAAGGTAAAAGCAAAGCAGGCTAGACTGATGCCCAGAGGTTCCTCATAGGACAAAAAGGTTGTTTCCTTGGGAATACACATATCCTGATTATTATTTGGATATTTTTCTTCTGAGCATATATTACACTCGTTCACGTCTGAAAATTAAAATACGTGGTCTTAATCAGAGAAATGAACACATATTCTGTAGAAATCATGTCTACCTGAATTATGTTGCGGGCAAGGCCCCCAAGCCCTTTCCCAGTAAATAACTTCAAACAGACACATCATTTTAGTTTTAATTTTTTGTGCAAAATTTAGGCCACAACTTTATTAAGTGGTATTGTCCTAGCATTGGTCAGGGACTATAACTGAATCCTGCCTCTCTGGCTGGCAGTCTGTAAGGGTAAACACCAAGCCGAGGGAGCAACATTGTTGAAGATCGATTGAAGCTCATCCCGGTGTTCCTGTGGTCCTGGCATGGCCCTAGCCCCTCAAGCGTACTTCAGACGAGATCCAGGACCCCCAGATTCCTATTTCTGGAGGGACAGGTGATGGCCACAGCTCACCTCCCACACATTTCTATAAACCAATGCCTAACCGCCAAACCTTACAAAGTTGTGACGATTGCTAAGGGGGTAGGCGAAAACCAAGTGGCTAAAGCCAATCTGCCAAATGGAAAAATTCCTACCCAGCCCCTGCTCCAAAGCAGGCAACCCAATCCAAAGCAAGGCCCAAACAGTAGCACCTAAAATCGGGAGGGATGGCGGGTGTTCGGTAGCGCAAAGCAAGTGCCCCACCCCCATTGTGCTGCCACATTTATAGGTCCCTGGGATCACGCCACTCGCCCCAATTGGCCCAAACAGCCAAGCGCGATCCTGGGGCCCAACAGACAAGGCTTGGGCCACGCCTAGTGTGGTGTTTGCCTCTTAGGGTGGGTCAAGTAAAGGGTTAAAATGGGTGTGATGTGATTGGCCAGTGAGAATGCAAGCGGGGAGTAAAAGATAGAGTGGGAGGTTTTGAAAGTCAGTTGAGGTTTGGGAGTTGGGAGTTGAGGTTTGTCAGTTGGGAGTTGAAGCTTGGGTGTTGGAGAAGGAAGAGGGTGGAATAGGCAGGGGGTTGGTAGAGTTGTATTGTGAGAGAGTGAGAGGAATTGTTAGGTTGAGTCAGATAGATAGTTGGAATAATCAGTTTGGAGTTGTTAGGAACTAAGATTAGGAAACTGACACGAGAAAAATAAACTGTAACCATACGCTTGTTCCTGCATTTAAAAATAAACTTGATTATTTGTTTATGTTAACAACTGTCTGGACACCGTGTGTCCCCGTGAGAAATGGGATGGTGGCAGCGAAGAAAGCAACTGCAGTGGTGGCACAGGGTCAATAGACCGTGAAACGTCCGGGGGGCCTGTGTGATCGCCTAGCAACACGCCTAGCAACAACACACCCCGTGGGGGTGGCCTAAGGGTCCCAAGCACAACTAGGATCCTCGATTTAGGAGGATCA